AATGCAGAAATTTCCAACAGAACCGCTTCACAGTTTGCCCCCAAACTCCGTACTACACCTCATGACATACTCACAAATTATGCGCAGAACAAATATCGCTGGATTTTGTCTTTTTGGGGGCTAAAATGATGAAAAATATGCCCTTTCCGCACTGAGCCAACCTGACACTTGAAACGTGCAGGATGATTTTCGGTTCGCTCGGAGCGCGCCGCGGGGGGTACGGTACAAGCGAAATGATAGTATGCGCATGCGTACAAGTGCTTGTACCGTACCCCCCGCGGCGCGCTCCGAGCGAACTGAAAATCATCCTGCACGTTTCAAGTAGCTCAGTCCGGAAAGGGCATATTTTTCATCATTTTAGCCCCAAAAAAGACAAAATCCAGCGATGTTTGTTCTGCGCATATTTTGTTAGTATGTCATGAGATGTGGTACGGAGTTTAGGGGCAAACTGTGGAGCGGTTCTGTGGGAAATTTCTGCATTTTGATGGACGTTTTTGTACTTAATTAGTGTTTTGTGCTGAAAACAATTTTGCGGGGTTCTTAATCTATGAGGCTCTAGGAGTAATCGATCGCATAGCCGTGCACAGACTAGTTATCGCATTTTCATCGTGTCTTCTAAATTGGCGCGCCGGGAACCAGTCATCGCCGCATTGAGCTGGGTTTACGCACATGATGAAAGTCACCGTGACATCGAGTTGCGAAGTAGTCATATCGCGAAGCGAATTTGTAAAAATAACGGAGGTTTCTTTTGAAAAAAATAGCGAATGTAAGTAAGAAACCAAATAAATACAACAACCATTTTTTTGACGCAGATTTTTTTGGCTGGCCAGCCGGACCACTTGGCAAGGTGTTTCAGCTGGTCCGCCGGCAATTCAACTGGCATTTGGCCAGCGGACCACCGCTAAGGTCGAACCCTGCGTGGGGGCGATAGCCCCCCCCCCCCCCTCATAAAATCTTGTCGCCCCCCAGTCGCCCCCCCGTTAGATTTTGATTTTCTAAAATAATTATCATTGATCTACATGACGCCCTCCCCCCATGAAATGTTCCAGCCCCCAGCGTCCCCCCCCCCCCCAACTGAAACATTCCTGGCTACGCTACTGAATACACGTTATATTAAAATGAATTTTCGTACACTCATTTGCCACGATGTTTGACATCAAAAGATTTCATTTCATTATAAAAACGTCAAATTATCAAGCTATTATGACCGTAACAATACAGGAATTTAATTGCAACAAATACAATCCTAATGTAAGTCAACATGGATTTTTAACGTTTAAAACACTAGATTGTTACGATCACATTGTATTGCTCCACGGTTTCTCACGCCATTCAAACTACTCATGCTACACATCGTGAAAACTAATTGCACGAAATTTCAATTTAATCCATTTTGTATTTCCTGAGTAGTTCATCGGAAACGAGTTTGTTCTTTTTGTTCAGTTGTGCAGCATCCGTGTTGGTGCGTTGTTGAGACCACTATTTATGTGGCGCGCCCTCTATTGAACAAAACTTAAAATATTCTACGGCTTGCGGATGTATGTCTTGGCGGTGTGGCAGGTAATTCTGTCCCCCCCCCCTTGGTAAATGTGTCCCCCGGACAAATTTACCGGTTTGTGACCCGGTAAATCTGTCCGGGGGGACACATTTACCTAGGTAGATCTGTCCCCCTCCCTGGTAAATATGTCCCCCTGCCCAACGTTAAAAGTGTCCCCCTGGCAAATGTGTCCCCGTGCAAGTATCACCCTAGCCCGACTGCGTCTGGCCGTACAGTACTATCGCAAGCTCTGTAGTACGGCCAGACGCTGAATGCTTCCAAAAAGACTGAATTTTTGTGGCCGCCGATGTAGCGATTTTGCTACATCTTTCGATCGCAATTATCTTTTCATCCAGGGCACAAATTTCCAAAGTTAAGGTTCGTAGTCGTAGAGCAACTCATACCTTTTTGAAAAAACGTTGTTTGGTCTCAATATTTTCATCCATCTGGCCACAAGACGAATTTCAGTCATCAGATTCCACAAATATCGTCCCCCATGCGATCCCCCATGCGATTTCAAAATGGCGGCCGCGCTGTAATGTATGCAATATGCAGGCGCGCCCGCGCAAACTCATGAATATGCATAAACAATCTGTGACGTACGACCTTGTGTTTTTGGACGTGCGTGCGGCGGGGCCGTACGTCCAAAAACACGAGGTCATACGTCACAGACTGTTTATGCATATTCATGAGTTTGCGCGGGCGCGCCTGCATATTGCATACATTACAGCGCGGCCGCCATTTTGAAATCGCACGGGGATCGCATGGGGGACGATTTTTGTGGAATCTGATGACTGAAATTCGTCTTGTGGCCAGATAGATGAAAATATTGAGACCAAACAACGTTTTTTTCGAAAAGGTATGAGTTGCTCTACGACTACAAACCTTAACTTTGGAAATTTGTGTCCTGGATGAAAAGATAATTGCGATCGAAAGATGTAGCAAAATCGCTACATCGGCGGCCAAAAAAATTCAGTCTTTTTGGAAGCATTCAGCGTCTGGCCGTACTACAGAGCTTGCGATAGTACTGTACGGCCAGACGCAGTCGGGCTAGTATCACCCATGCGATGATACGAGTCGCGTTCGTGAGCGCGCATCGCCGCAAGTACACGCTGCAAGAATGTGGCAGCGTTTATCGCATTATGTGTACATAATGTGTACCCCGCTACACAAAGGAAATTCATCCAATAGGAAATTTCGTTACGCGCTACGATGGGAACGCAGACCAATCCAAGTAGGCGTTATATCAATGAGGCGTCCACCGTAGAATAGGGCTACACCGTTCTCCGAATCGATCGAAACATTGTGTTCACATTTCACATCTAAGAAAGAGACCAAAAAGTTAATATTTTTCATCTTCATGAAGGGCAGACTAAAGAGTAAAAAATGTATACCTTGTAGAGTGAATTCATGAAAACAATATAGAGAACTGGCCTTCTGCGTTGCAAAACTAGGGGGAAAAAAACTGGAGGGGACAGAATTACCTGAAGGGGACAGAATTAACGGGCCGGTGTCGTGCGAAAAACCGTCCGGTGCCAAATAGTGTCCGCTGAGCGTGCGCAGTAGGTGCCGGACACTATTTGGCATGTAATACATGCCAAATAGTGTCCGGTGCCAAATAGTGTCCGGGCGCCGTCGATCGAGCGCCGGAGAACAAGGGCGCACGTACGTACGTCCTGCCAGACAGTAATAAGCTGGAAAAATCGGACAGTATTTTGCAGGAAAAATCGGACATTTTTTTCGCAGGGAAATTGGACAGTATTTGGCAGGGGGAATCGGACACTGTTTGTTGGCAGGAAAAATCGGGCAGTATTTGGCAAATTCAGGTGAAAAGAGATCTTTTCTATACGATGTATTGACAGCTCGACAACACGCAATAGGATGCACGCTAAGTGCGGACACTATTTGGCAAGCGTCCGTAAACAATGTGACGTCATAGACGCATGACCAATCAGATCGCATTATGCTAATTAGCGGACACTATTTGGCACCGGACGGTTTTTGGCACGACACCGGGGAGGACACTTTTACCTAGGTAATTCTGTCCCCCCGGACACTTTTAACGGGGAACAGAATTACCGTCCACAACGGCGACGCGCGCGCATACCACAAACCGGAGACTTTTTTTGGGCCTTACCAATTATGGGGGGGGGGGGGGGGGGGGGGGGGTAAGCCCGTTGAAAAAAGGGAATTTGAATGTTAAAAGGCAGTCTTTACAAAATATTGCCCCCCCCCCCCCTGCTGGCTATGCCTATGCTCTTTGAGGGGCCAATAACTCAAGAAATATCTGTTGTATGAAAATGCAATTTCGTCTGTTGATTGCTTGTGATGTTTCTACGACGACTGATATTCAAGAAGTATTGTTAAGCAAGAAATAGCGTCTTCATTTTTAATTCAACAAAAAAAGGGGCCAATAACTCAAGAAGTATTTGTTGTATGAAATGGAATTTCGGCTGTTGATTGATTGTGATGTTTTGCAGACAGCGCTGAGCTTAAATAGGTCGATAAACAAAGCCATGGTGATCGCTGGCATCTGCAACATAGAGGGCGCTGTATCAAGAACACCTTTGTTTAAAAAAAAACAACGGAATGAGAGATCTCGATCGTTAAAAACTTTTGTTTTTAAACGTAGAGTAGAGTACATGTTTATTTCTATGCCTTCGAGTCGTAATGAATACAAATATAATTTAATATTATATTCATTAAATAATAAAAAAAGAAGCATTTGGCTTATGGCTTCCAATTACTCGGAAGATTTAATTCACAAAGCCCCACTTCTGGGTCTATAGAGGCGGAGCGACATTAATTATACCAAACACCCCCTCCCCCCCCCCCCCCTCCCTTTTTAATCGAGGCCTGGGTGCTAAGGGTCGGCTTAAGGAGCTGGGGCCTGCTACTGGACTTCTTCCTAATAATGCAAAAAAAAATGATGTGGAGCGGTTCGGGAATATCTTGCATTTTTACTTCAATTTGCGAAAGTGAGCAAGTAGAGGATCACAGTCTAAATGGCTGTACATTTGAGGTTTGGTAGAAATGAAGGGTCCGGCTCTGACAAAATAAAAAAAAAAACCACAAAAGTGCCGGCTTTTTAGGGTTAGCATTGAACATCTGTGGTGGGAGGTACAGGTAAGCGGCCCCCGATATGTATACTCATTATTATTTTGCACACAGTGGGGTTTCCACTAGACAAGCTCATGCTTTTGGAGACCTCCATCCATACAGAATAATTCGAATGGTAAATAATTCCCCAATTATGTAAAGTACTTACCTGCAATATAATTGGAATTTTGATCGATTGATGTATGTGAAGGGATACTGATGATGTACAAGTGCTATAAGCCATGTAAGCATGCCCATGAATCTGGAACAGCGCCCTCTGCTGAACAGAATTATATTTCCATGGTACCCATCTTTCTGTTGTGGTTTTTGCATACTGATGGGGAACCAGCTAAAAGCGTGCTATGCACATGTGCATTGTGTATTATGCTGATTTTGTGTATTTTCTGTCATGCGATCGTATTAACATTGCAATGCTGGAAAATGAGTGCTATCACGATGAATTAGGGAACATTTTGGTGTTAGTTGGGGGCCGAAAGCCCTTCGACTGACCCACCGATCACCACTGGTGACAATCCAGTGGTCACCTATATTCCTGGGGCTGCATTTTGTACTGATGTGGAAACTTTAGGTAAACAGTTTGACGTGATAGAAGTTCATTTCAAAGCCAAGTCTGTCCCCGGCCCCGAACAACTAAACACTAACTTTGGCAACATTATGGCGGATCCTGAAAATGAAAGTAGGCCCAGCAAAGGCAAATCAGCTACTAGAAGTGACGGATTATCACCCACTGATCTGATGACTGAGCAACTGGAAGCCTCAATAAGGTATTTCCCCCCCCCCAAAAAAAAAAAAAAACTGTGTGAATTTATAGTTATAGTACATCTGTACATAGGCCTAGATCTCCTTAAGTTATTCTTTAAAATTCATGTGCAAATTGGTGTTATTTAATAAAGTAAAGGGGATCCCTACTGTGCCACACAAGAGCATGACAAGCTCTTTTTTGTTGGGATCCCCTTCCACTTATAATATTAGGTTATATTGTTAAATTAAAGAAAGAATGTAAAACTATATTCCAACATCTTTTATGTAATTTAATATGAAAATGTTACTATTACTTATTATTATATAATTTTATTAATTATATATATTTTTTGAGATGTGTAATAAGGAATGAATGAATGAATACAAGGATCAAATTCAGGATTTATGTTAAATGACACAGACTGTAGTACTATTTTGCAATAAAAAAATTACATGAATGTTGGAGATGGTTAAGTCAGACACTTGTCTGATTGTGGACTAGAACTCATCAGGATTATTTGACAGGTTAAATTTGCATGAATGCTGAGTTTCTAGACATTTATTAACCCTAACTCCCTAAGTAGTCCAAGTCACTTGGGCCCAACTTATCGCCTTTTCAACATTCGGACATGGTCTGACGATAGTAGGGTCCAAGCTAAACCGCATCAGTCGGTCGACACAGTTTGTCCTTGACCCAAAAACTCAACATTGCCCAACAAAAACATCAGATTTCACCCTCAAAACGGCCTACAAATTACTAGTTACACCACCTGAGGTACAAGTAGACTTCGATGATTAAGATGGTTGTACTGAAGTTTACTTACGAGCCGGATGAAGAGTGAAATTTCCCGTTCAATTCCAAGAGCTCCCCTTGCGATCGTGAACACGTTAAATGTGTTAATGTTTGAACGATGCGATGTGGTCATCATGCCCATCGCACGTTCGATGATCCCCGTATCCGAAGTGTGATTCCGTTACCGAGCACAATGCATCGATTATGATAATGAGAAGACTGGATCACATTTGTAAACACAAGTGCATTTCGAATGGTAAAAGGGAGTCGGGAACTAGCTTGAACTGGTTTCCCGCCCATAAAAGCTGCCCTAGTTCCCGACTCCCTATTATCATTCAAAATGTACAGATGACAGATTCGGCTACGCCATCACAACGGTCAAAATCAATCAAGTGAGTAAGATTGAAACTTTGCATGGTGGTACATGTAGTGTAAATTAGTGAGGGTTTGCGGTAACACCATTTTGAAGAATCTCTTTTGAGAAGACGTGTGGTTCTGAAAAGAACCGGCTGGTTGTGAAACTCGACGCTCTGATCGTAAAGTGACTGTTTTTAACAGTTAAGAATTCCCTTGTTACAATGTAATTTAGACACTTGTATAGAGGCGATTGATACATTGCCATCTGTATCCACCAGACACCTCTTTCCTCTGTTGAGAGAATTTTCCTTTTATTTGTCCTATTATGTATACAAATTGCAGGGAAGTAGAAGAAATTGTTGTATAGACCAGACACATGCCAGAAAACGATTCAGTCAATACCCAGGATAGTTGAAACCTTTTTTTTGTTGTGTTGGGCCCATAGAGCCAGCCTATTGTGCTCTGAATACTGACTTTGTACACGTACCGGTACATGTACATGTAGTTGCTAAGTACAGGCATAAACTTGTCCTACAAATGTAAGCAGAGGCTTTCGGACTCAGTTTGACAAGACAAGCCTGGTCTTATTATAATGTTGTGTTTGATTTGAAATACATGTTGAACTTTATAATATAAAGAAACCTGTTAATTGCACAGTATGCTCAATGTGTAGGCCTACACAGCATTCCTAAAACACTGAATCGGACACACCAATTTAACGAGAAAAGACAATCCCAAAGGGAAGATAGGAATGGTACCAAAATACCCTGTGAAAATATTCCAAGAAATGGTATCGTTCGGAAACAGTTAAAAAAGTGTGCCTGGGTGCACACTTTTCTTTTTAATGTGCTTTAGCAATGAATGGAGCCCATTTATGAGACGTGAACAAGTGAAAATGTTTTCTCTCTGTTTTCTCAAAATGTATGGTTGCCACTGAGCTAAAACTTTCACATGAAGCCCGGCACGCACCTTTCCAATTTTACTGGTTCACCGGATCACCCCATCACTGGTACTTTCTTTTTACCATTGCGGTTAGACATTTCTTGCACACGTGCCCGATTCATTCTATAATCCGTCACATGATGACAAAATTGCAGCCGTCAATTTGGAGTCATGTGACTTCCTTCGTGATTGGTTTTAACATAAATATTGCTTTCGTTGAAATCAGAGTGCTGCCCGCCAGTGTTCTAGCCAGGGTGAAATTATAGCGTAGGGGTAATTTTGGTTCTTGACTAATGCGAGCGCGGAGCGCGAAGCCCTTACGGCGTGGGGTCCGGGGCCCGCTTAAGGGCCCCGAAAAATTTTGGACTCTAGATGCTCTGTGGTGCAATCTGAGGCGATTCCCTGCCACTTTCCCCTGATTTTTTTTTAGCAGAAGTGTTTAAAATTATATGAAATTTTGTTTTATTTGTTTCAATGATTGATACTCTTGCTCCTGGAAAGTTTCTTCTGTTTTCAAATTTTAGATTATGTTTACAATGTATAAATTGTTCCAAGATCGATGCTTTCTGATTTTTAACCATTTTTAGTAGTTCTTCCATGTTTTATAAAAAATTGGGATTTACTTTGTCAATATTAAGGGTGAGAACAAATCGCATGAACATTTCATATTTCAAGAAGCCTTGTGTTGTGTAGCGCTGCCGTAGTAGCAGTAGTTCCGATTTTAAATTTGTAAATAAAACCATCCGATCGGCAGGGAGAGAAAGTGTAAAACCATGGAGGTCTCAGACAGAAAAAGTCGTTGGCGATTGCAATTTCAATATGCTACAACACAATGTGAAGGAGAAATCTCATTTTTGTTATGTTAAAAAATATAATTGTAGATAATGACGATGAGAAATAATCACCGGGAATTGCTTCCTATCCCGGCCGCGGCCGGCCCGGCGTGCGGGCGCGGCGCGGGCCAGCCCACACCGGCTACGCCGGCGAACTACGCGACCAAATTTTCCCTCGGCATTTGAGAAAGCAACGCATTCGTGGAGCGCTAAAAAACTTGCTTTGTTGCAATACTTGCTGATTGGTTTTGTCCTAAGAACAAACAGATCCGTTTTTACAACCAAACTTATCGAACTGTTATTATCAGCAACGAGTAGTGTAGTCAAAAATCCAAATTTTCGACAGCGACATTCTTCGAGAAGAATTCTTCACGTGCGGCCATCTTTGAGGACGGATCCATTGATATCGTAGGGGTGCTTAACCTTTCTTTGGACATCGTTTTCTCGGATAAATCCTTTACGAAAATTATGTTCCGACGTTGAAGAACTTATTTTCAAACAGTAACATGTTTCGGACTTGATCAAAAGTATTATTTATAATTTTAGAACAGTTGAAATGCTTGTAAATATTGACCTTAGGAAAGCACACCCGATACCGCAAAATGGTGTGGTCCACAGAGCGCTCTGTACGTGACGGCGCGCTCTGTTGGTGACACGTACGTCCGAACGGAGCGCTGTATCTACGCAGCACAAAACAGCACGTGCTTATTGCTATCATAGCGAATGCGTGTGGCGCAGCATCACGGTAGGGGTATCGTACGGGGTACGTGCAGTGGGATCGTTGATTATTTTTTGCTGTGTCGTACGGCCAGTGCGCAATGCTCAAAGTTGCTGCGCTTGTATACGAACAAACGGCAGATATTTTTTTTCGCAACCAAAATTTATAGCGTAGCGGTAGCGTAGCGGTAGCGTAGCGGTAGCGTAGCGGCGCGATTTAAGCGTAGCGCTTATTTCCGAAAGCGTAGCGGGTGCTAGCGCTATTTGATGCCTGGCTAGAACACTGCTGCCCGCACACCTTTCCGGTGACATCAGATCCGATGAAATCGAATGCGTAAAAATAAAACATGTTTGATTTCATGCGGTCGCTCGGTGTACGGTCAGATTGGTCCAAATTTTCAGTGCACACCCCGAAAGGTGTGCGACAGGCTTTAGTTGTTCTATCGGTACTTAAGATCTTGAGCAATTATGTTGCTTAAATAGGAGAAGAGCACATGAAGCAAATGATTCTATAATGTACCTCTGTTAAAGATCTTTGTTCAAAATCAACCAGAGATTGGGAAGATTTTGCAGGATTACATGTAAGTAAGAGGTGTACACAGATGAATATTTATGGGGTCTGATCTTCTTTATTGACAGCTAAAGTACAGTTAAAGAATGTGCTCCTCGTTTCCTGCTCAGTGGAGGATTTTTGTAGATCAAGGACTTTGTGGTTGGAGCATGACGCATAAGCACATTGACCCGGGTTTGGCGATTTCAAGAATTTTTTTGTGTCGAGTATCAAAATGAGGAAGGAGTTTTCCAAAAGGGAGAGCATTCATGAGATTTTTTGGTCTTTTGTTTGAAATCAGACCTTTTGAATCTGAGAGAAAGACATTATCAGTATACATGTAGAAAGTAATGCATGTTTCTGACCTTTCATCCAATTTCCAGACTTTTTTTTTTAATTGACAATCTCATGCCTATATGAGAGAGTGAAACTTGCTTTAAAGACTGTGTGGGTACATGTACATACAGTCCGTGTACTTTTGGCTATCACACATTTTATTGGCTGGCCAGTCAGCAACTTAATAGTTGGGTGTGAATTCACACTGCTGTCGGGCTGAATTTCCATCGGCTGTGGGCTGAATTTTAAACAAAGGGGTCACCCCACACGTTTCAACCTTCAGGGCAGATGAACCGGTATATCATTTGTTGAACTTGACAGTTCAATCGTTTGTATTGTGTACATGTATGAAGTATGAGCAGTTGCACTGCACAACAAAGGGTACCGGTACATTATACGAGTACATTTGTACTGTGGTACATTTGTACTGTAGCTACATTATACTGGTTACATGCACTCTCCAACGCTACTTACAATGCCAAGACATATAATTTT